TATATATATATATATATATATATATATATATATATCCATATATGTATATATTAGTATATAAAGTACAAGTCTGGGGAGTGCGCTAGACAAAGGATTTAGCTTGGTATTAAGATTAAGTCTTTCAGGAACAGCTTAGCTGGGTGGCTCTGGCACAGAGTCTCTTACCAGGTTGTAACCAAGATGTTGGCCAGGACTACAGTCAGCTGAAGGCTTGATTAGGGCTGGTGGAGAACCTACTTCCAAGAAAAAATAAAGAAATTAAATCCTATTATAGAAAGAAAACTCTGATCATGAGAGATGATATCTCCATTCCCCTCTCAAAGTTACTATAAAAATATAAATTCATTCACAGCTTTAATACCCAGCCTTTAGAGGGGATTGACACTCCTGGAGCAACTCTGGGGCAGATGTTATTCTGATGAGGTGCCATTTGGATTCAAGAACAGCACAAATCTAAATAAATAAACAACCCATTGGTAGTTCCACCAGGCAGAAAACACACACACACACACACACACACACACACACACACACACACACACACTTTTCTCCTGGCATAGGATCCAGATATTTAAATTCTTTCATTGGATTTCTTTTAAAAAATGCTGCTATAGAGGATGGCTCCCAACACCACTGACTGTCTCCATTTCCCACAACTGCATGGATCTTCTTTTGGGGTATTTTGGGGAAAGCTGCCACTATAAAGACATGCCACTCAGTTGAATTTGGATCCAACCATGTTCCTTGTCAATGTAGGCAGAGCTCAGAACTGTGTGTTTTCCGCCATGACTAGCCTGTGTTTGATTACATGGTCCAGAAGTTTGAACCAGAGTTATAATTATGCTTCTAAAATCAAGCCCAAAAGAGCAACCTTGGAAACCTACAAAAAGCAAACAAAGTAGCTAAAAACCAATAACTTCAGAAATTGGAAGGCTAAGATTTTCATGTTAGCTGTTTAAGGTCACCACACTCTTTTGTGGCTCGGTGGGGCGTATCAACTAGTAACTACACACGTAAACAACCTATTATTTATTGAAGTCCTGTGCTGCCCTTCAGCTGTCTCTTTAAACAAAGGGTGTGTTTTCTATTTCCTCTCAAATCTCAACTTTGACAGAACAATGTTCTAATCCAAGCTCTATTGTTTTCAGAGATTGCTCAATAACTTCATCTGAAAATGAGGGACACTGAGCATTCCATGAAACCGTGCCTGCAGGGGGTGGGCACCAGAGAAGTGAGTGGTCAATAGATGGACGCCTTCTGTGTCCTTTCACTTCTTGTTGGGACAAACTCCCCAGTCACTGTACCCTCTTACTGGCCACTGCAGTGCCCATCCAGGCATCGCTGCTTCAGAATCCTTCCTCCTGCCTTCTGAAGTCCAAACACCTGTCCTTCCTTGTTAGCATTGAAGAAATTCTTTTAGCCAACCTCCATTGACAACCTCCGTTCACACTCTGAAGTGCACTGACGATTGCCCACGTACCTGACCCGGGCTGGGGCTGCTCTCTCATTTCTCTCTTTTCTCTCATCACTGCATTGTATACATACCAAGAGTCAGTCAGGCATGTCACCAAAACGTTCATGCCACTTTTACTTGTACTTGTGTAGTGAAAAATTAGATAAACGGATAAATGCTTTTGGAAACACTTTAATTTTTAAAATCGAATTAGGTACAGATGAGAAAACAGTGAAGGACTGAGAAAAACTCATAAAAGTCTCTCAAGATCCTGTTCTTAGATTGGTTAAAAAACCTGTCCCTTTGCCCAGCCAGTCTGGCTCAGTGGTTGAGCATCAACATATGAACCAGGAGGTCACAGTTTGATTCCCAGTCAGGACACATGCTGGGGTTAAGGGCTCAATCCCCAGTAGGAGGCATGCAAGAGGCAGCCAATCAATGATTTTCTCTCATCATTGATGTTTCTACTTCTCTCTCCCTCTACCTTCCTCTCTGAAATCAAAAATATATATATTTTTTTAAAAACCTGACTCTCTAATTTGAAGAAACTAAAATTGATAATGATAGAAAATGCATTATGATTTTTTTAAAAGGCCATGTTGCTACAACCAGCAACCAACCAATGGATAAGTATATGCTTATGTTTTAAGTTAAGAGAAATTATTAAAATTGTGCTTGGACATGTTATGTTTTTTTCAAATATATTTTTATTGATTTCAGAGAGGGAGAGATAGAAACATCAATGATAAAAGGGAATCATTAATTGGCTGCCTCTTGCACTCCCCCTACTGGGGATTGAACCCACAACCCAGTCCTGTGCCCTGACAGGGAATCAAACTGTGACCTCCTGGTTCATAGGTGGATGCTCAACCACTGAACCACACTAGCTGGGCAATACTTCATGCTTTTATAATTCTCTTCTTTCACTGTTTTTTCCATTAACCAACCCACTACCTGTTCTACTTGCACCACTTACGGGGGTAGTTATTTACCACAGCAGACAGGTAACAACCAGATGCATTCTGAGCCTGCTGCTTGAATCAGCGGGGCAACACTTCATTGACAAGTATCACTGCCTACTTTTCTAATTACCAACTCAAATTAAATGTGGTGCAAAGGGTTTATCATTGTTTTTCTACAACTCTACCCTGTACCAATACTCTGTATCCCAGTGGCCACCCCAGTCTTACTGACCTTCCAGCCACTCTGCCCAACAAAAATATAATATGAGCCATATATGTAATTGTACATTTTCTAGGAGCCATGTTTAAAAATGAAAAGGGAAAAGGTGAAATTAATTTTAATAATAAATTTTGTTTAACCCCAAATATCTCAAATATTATAATTTTTAACTTGTAATCAATATAAAATGTATTACTGAAATATTTTTTATGTTGTCTTTAAAATCTGTTGTGTAATTTACGTCATAGCATATCAGTACAATTCAGATTAGCCATATTTCAAGTGCTAGAAGCCACACATGACTAGTGACAACTATATTGGACAGCTGACAAATCTTGCTATTCTGATATTCTTATTTTCAAAAATGGTTCCTTCTGCTTTATCTTCAGTTACTAACCAGTTATTTCTTGCCCGGACTGTGCCAACATCCTCCCCTGGAGCTTACTCCTCTCCATCACTGGTTAAGACCACCCTCCCCATCATTCACCTTGATTACATTATCCACCCTCCTGTGATGTCCTTTATTCAGTGGATCAGAACCAGAGCTGTGATCCTCTTCCTTAGGAAATCTTGCTTCTTGTAGCTCCTTCTGCTTCTTTCCCAACTTCACTCTATCTCTCAAGCTATTACTTCAAATTCCTGCACCACCATCCTCTAAACTACAACCACTTTTATGTCTACATGATCCGACCTCCTAAGCTGTCTTTCCTCCTCTCAAAACCAACTTTATTCCCTAGACCAGTGATGGCGAACCTATGACACGCGTGTCAGAGGTGACACGCGAACTCATTTTTTTTGGTTGATTTTTCTTTGTTAAATGGCATTTAAATATATAAAATAAATATCAAAAATATAAGTCTTTGTTTTACTATGGTTGCAAATATCAAAAAATTTCTATATGTGACACGGCACCAGAGTTAAGTTAGGGTTTTTCAAAATGCTGACACGCCGAGCTCAAAAGGTTCGCCATCACTGCCCTAGACCCTATTTCTATGCTCCACCAGACAATCTTACTCTCTCTCCTATTCTTTAAGGTCCTCTTTCACTTCTTGCATTTCCTCCTTTGCACAATTCTCTCCTCTTGTAAAACAAAACAAAACAGAAATTCTCACTTGAATTCACTTTCCCTATTAGTTTATCATCCAAACATCTCAACTTTCTCACCTCTCATTGATTCTTTGAGTCAACTTTTACTCTATAAATTCTAATCATCTAATAAGACTTAACACTCATTGACCTTTCTAGGGCCCACACTTGGCCTTTTGTTCTGCTCCATCTTCATACTCTGACTCATGGTTTCAATTGTTACCTCTCTGCTCCATGTTCAGAGCTCCCAAGATTCAGAATCTTATATCCGTCCCATCCCACTTAGAGACAGAGACCAGCCTGACTTGTGTGTTTGCCTCCACGGCCTAGGCACAGTCATAGGTACTCATTGTGTCTAAGATGAATGAATTAGTAAAATCTGCTTCCAGCTTCCTTCTAACCATGGCACTCAGAATTTCCCAATGTTTTTAATACTCTGCTTATTTAACAAGCTCCTCTGCTCCCACAGTCTCCTGCAGGATCCCTTTCCTGACGTAATTCGACAACCAGTTTCCTCTTCACTCACCAACCACATTTGCCAAGCGCTCTGCATGTCACATAAGTCACTTGCCAAGTTTCTTATTTTATCTGTGTAATTAT